TGCTTGGGTGCCGAGTTGAAATACCCGGACAGACGCACACACACACACACACACACACACACGCACACACACGCACACACACACACACACATACACACACCGGGGTCGTCGCAATATGCGTTTTCGCATTTGCATGTTATGCAAAAACGCATAAAAATTTCAAAAATCGCTCGAAAGCTTGAATGGCAGATAAGACTTTGCTAATAGTAGGCACTCGCTAGCATTGCTATTGGTAGTTCCCTCTTCTTGGAGCAGATTCAGGGAGTAAACTGAATGCGGTGAGCACCAATTTGTCGTTGAAATAAACCAAAAATCGCTGCTTATCAGCGAATCTGAGCGAAGGTTTTTTAGCCAACGATAATGCGTTACGTAGCACTGTACGTCCATTTTCCCTCAAAATGGGCAAATGAGGAAGAATTTCTCTTGCCAGAAAGAAACTGCTGAAGAGTATGTATGGCAGAGGGCGAAAGAGAGAATAAATGTGCATTCAGTTTAGTAAAGATGGTGCGGTATTAGAAGGCATCAATCACATCATATCACTAAGCTCATTACCATCCGCGTACAAACGCTGCATCTCGGTTGCGAGTGTCGGTTCGGTTATTTGCAGGGAAAGTTTCGACGCCTTTCGCTCAAAAGCGCTCTGTTCATCGAGTTGCAGCGCTTCATCATCTTCTCCCCGTTGTTCTATAGTTTCGCAAGAAAAATATGTTTTTTTTTTTGATAAAAAACACTTACTTAAAATTTTAATAATTACAGTGACTTCCCGTCCTCATCCAATGCATCTTTAACAAAAGCACCCATACTCTAGGCTTAATAATCTAAAGGAAATGGTGTTGCGCTGTCAGCTGATAGACGCCAAGCACAGCTTTTATCAGAGATAAAAGGCAGGTCAGCTTTTAACACTTTGACTAAATCACATTCTCTCCATGAAAAATGATGCTTTTTCAAAACAATCAATCTTATTTACTTCTAAATACTTCTGAGCTTTTGTTCCTAATAATTTATTCTTCAACATAGTTAAGAGCTTACCCTTTTTCGCAGACCTCGCTTTTTTACTTATGCTATTTTAGCACACAATCCGCATGAATTGGCTAAACTTCCATGTCCATAACCATAGTTTTTGCAGTTTTTTACTCGTATGTAGTTGATTTTGAAACCTCTGTCTTCACTCACTCTTTATTCAGCTAAAGAACAGGGAAGAGGTGCTTGCTGCTTAGGTACACCAGTGGTTTGAAGAATGTACGCCGTTTAAGAAAATGCTCACAAATGCTTTTGTCAAAGGTGCATTTGTTTTTGCCAACGCACAAAAAGGCCGGGAATTTTTTAAAAATTTTGGATTTGCTGTTTTAAAAAAACCGAGAAAAACATTTGCAAATTTGTACGGCACTGAACGTGTAAAGCCTACTCTAAAGGCGCACAGAATCGCAGTAAAACACCATTAGTCAAATTTTAGTGCATTTTAATTATTTTCAAATTTACACACTTGTAGCTAATAAAGATTTATTAACTACAATTAAATATCATGATAATTAAAAAGTTTTAGTATGCGAGACAAGCTATCGCCCTATTATTTTTCACAAATTCATTCAAAAGTATGAGAAACAATCCAACCTGATGTTTGCGAAGCAAAAATCTGTTCCGCCGGGCAGCTACCGATTGTGGCAATGTGCATTTCCGGAATAATCGGCACAAGCCTGGAAAATTTCAAACAAAAGAAAGTCTTCAAGTGTTTTTTTCTGGAAAAGCCCGCGACACGTCCCTTTTCTTCATACCCTTTTTAACTAAAACTCTTGAATTCTTTATCGAAAATGGCTCTCGAATATTATGTAACCACTACTGCTGCATTTTTTAAAGTTGTACTTTTTTTAAAAAAAGGTTCTTCAAAAAATATACCGGTAATCAATGAATATATTGGAAACACATCCAATAAGGGGCTCAGCGATTGGCATTTCATTGGCGGATGGTTTCACACGATCCGGGAAACCGCCAATGAATAACTGTGAATCAGCACTTCCGATTGTTTCCTGATCTCCAAGAGTACCAGATGCTATTTCTCGATCGTCTACGCGAAGCCGAACCCTAAAAAATACCATTAATCTATACTGTTGCGTTATGCGACAAAAAAGAAAGCTAGAGAAAAAAAAATTAATGAGCAACAGCGACGTTACTAGTTTTCGACAAAAAGAATTTTCTACAAAAATTTGTTTTTCTCATTTTTTCTCACACCGTTATCAGCTTGCTTCTAAGCAATCCTCGAAAGAGAGAGCCATCAATAGAACTTTTTGACGATAAATGTGGCGCTTTTATATCTGCTTTCTTTACCTGTAACAGGAGCAGCTTCTGCGCTTCGTTCCTTTGATTCCTTCCATATCATGAATCCAGGCATTCTGTACTCGGTTTTACTAGTACTGTTAGTATTCGGTTTTACTAATATTATTACTAATACTAATAATATTAGTTTTACTCATACTATTAATAAAAAAACCAAGTACAGAGTGCCTGGATTCACGTTAACAGCAGATGTTTAAATCCAGCATCTAGACCACTTTTTTGCAATGATAACTATTAATAATCACGACAATTTTAGTTTTTATCTTTCGTGATAATTTTAGCTTATGATTTCCAATTTAAATTTCATCGCCTAATTATTCATTCCTGAAATAGCTTTCCCAGGATCCAAGGGCCAATGGTCAACTCTAGAATCATGCATCCCAACCATTCTAGATTTTTTATTAATTTCTTTCAGCAATAATCACATAAATGACTTACAATGTTTCAAAACGCGTGAAGAAAACAGAGTGAATCTGACCATCATTAAATGTCACTTCCGATCTCAGTGTCAGTACTTTGCTTTTTTGCGACGGGTCGGTACCAAGGTGTACAACCAAATAGCCACGATACAAATAAAACGCCAAATATCCCTAAATGCATATAGGGTATCAATTTTTTACCTTGAAATGGTTATAAATGTGTAAAAATTCGGAAAATTTGTAAAATTCAAAAAAGAATTTTTTGCAGAGACTGAGGCAAGATTTTTCGGTTACTATCAAGCCAAACTATTAATATCCGGCAACAACACAGAGCTCGATATTAAAGAACCATGTTTTTGTGGTCATACATAGTTAGTTATACTCGGACTGCTACTAATCATTATGAGCTGTCAGAATTAGTGTCAAAAGTCAGAAAGAATTTAAAAGTTTTTGTGTTAAGTTTTCCTATTTAAAAGTTTTCATGTTCATGTTTTTATCTTATACACACGTTATTTTTCTGATTTGCATCGTCGTCCTGTTCAAGCAATCTGATATCTTTTACAAATTTAAATTCGCGAGCAAAATCCAAATCCAGGAAAAAGAAAATGTTGATTTTGTACTCGAAAAACTAACAGTTCCTTCGGAGTTTCGTATCCTTCGACGCCGTCGCACTGCTTTCAATTCACTCGACTGGAATATCAGTGTTGCGTTTGCACTTTTAGTTCGGAATGCAAAAGCTAGCCTGGAATATCGCAGAAATGTAAATATGCTTGTTTGTTACTCTACCTTCTTCATGCCAATCATCGATATGTACTGGGGGGAAAATCTGAGCTGGAGTTGAGGATTTTATCAAATTTTAACTTTAACTTCCAGATTTCACTTGCGTTCTCATTACTCTAGCTTTTTGTAACTCGACACATGCGCATCACATACTTGACAGGCAGGTGACTGCACTGATGATTCTCACTTGTGCACATACATGCGTCGGTCTCTGTTTACAGATAAGGGATAAATTAAAGGCATTATTAATAAAACATTCTTTAGTGAAAAATGAAACTTCACATTTTTTTGATCAAGACGAAAAGTGTTAAAAATGACTAGATAACACAAAAGTAAGCAACCGAGAAACTAACGTGGAATTATCGGTGAGTTGAATGCCCTGGACGACCAAATAACCTGGCTGACTGAAGCCAACGATACGATCCGCAGGTTCCAGTTTTTCGCCATCTTTGAATATACATCCTTGCTGCATACGTTGTGAACGTATCGGATTATCAAGATCTAGTTCTGCGACCTAAAAAATCAGATGATTATCCTAGATGATTCAATAGTAAGCAAAATTCAAATTCAAATTATCCAAACTAAGGTGCTTGCAAAATTTGTTATTTTGTACGTATCGTGGCTCTCCAGCTATGCAGCAGCTACCTTTTTTCAGTTTCCAAGTTGCCTTGATTAATGCTGCATTGTCTGGCTGTCAGCTCACTGACT